TTCATTTAATGTTAAGTTCAGCATAATATGAATTTGGCTTTATGTTAATCTTTAGGATAAAACCAAATTCATATTATACTAAACTTAATATTAAATGAATTTGGCTTATGCTAAGCTAGCATAAAATGAATTCGTTTTATACTGAGCTTAGCATAAAATAGATTAGTTTATTAAAAAATAGTTTAATATTTCTTTTTTTTTTTTTCTGAATACTAAGCTTAGCATAAAATGAATTTGTTTTTTGCTAGCTTAGCATAAAGCCAAATTCATTTAATATTAAGTTCAGCATAATATGAATTTGGCTTTATATTAATCTTTAACATAAAGCCAAATTTATTTTATACTAAATTGATATTAAATAAATTTGGCTTTATACTAAGCTAGCATAAAATGAATTCGTATTATGCTAAGTTGAGCATAAAACAAATTAATTTATTAAAAAATGGTCTGATCTTTTTTTTTTTTCCTGAAAGCTTCTTGTAATTACCTTAGATAACACTCCAAACAATGGTACCTTTGTTCGTGAACTATTAATAAAGTTAAAAGAAAAAGAATATTTAGAATAGAACTCTGATTATTTTAGATTTCGGTGTTTTAACCATATTCTTAATTTGGCTGTAGAGGTGGCTTTAGGTAAAATAGAGGAGAATGTCTATAAAGTATTAGTACTGTATAAACTCTACAAAACCTTTTTTTTTTTTAAAAAAAAAAAAAATTATTATTAAACTAACACTCAAACAATTAAGATTTGAGAGCTTAATTCCGCTATTCGTATAATACTTCAGTGCCTCGAGCTGTTTAAAAAAGCATGTAATGCATGTGATATCAAATTTTGCAAACCTATTCTAGATTGCCCTACTAGGTAGAACTCCACTCATAATATGATTAAGAATGGGCTATTTCTTAAACAAGTAGGCATTATGCATGTTACATAAAAAGATTTTTTAATTAATTAAATTTATTTATTTATTATATATCTTATTAATAATTTATTTATTATATATCATAATAATTTATTTATTTATTTTATTAAACAATTTATTTATTTATTATATTATTTATTTATTAAAAACTGATTAAATTTATCTATTATTACTTTTTTTTATTTAAAAAAAATTTTCAAAAATTATAAAATGCGCCTAAGGTGTTCAACACCAATGATTACATATATATTTTATTATATAAAATTACTGAATAATATTTTATTAATTTTATTAAAATTATAAAATATACTAATTAATTGTGCAACATGTCATAACGTGTTATTATAAAATCATTTTTAATATCATTTTACTTTCTCTATTTTAGTTGTTTTACTTTCTATAGTTAGATATTTTAGTCGTTTTACTTTCTTTATTGTTATATATCATTAAACCTATCGTTTTACTTTTTTTATTGTTAGCACAGATGAATAACACATCTTTTCTTCAGACTAATAATGCTTATAACCTACCTTTGTCTTATACTAGCGATAATTATAATTCACCTTTGCTTCATACTGACAATGCTTATGACAGTTTTACAGACACTTACTTTAATAATATTATAGCTTCTGAGAATATTTTAGATGACTTTGGTGAACAGCAAATTTCAGAAAATGCATTTGACAATTTCAACAATGAAGCAGATTTTGAGGACGAAGATGAAGAAATGGAACCTGAACCTAGATATTTGTTAACTGTGAATCAGTCTTTTAAAACTTGGAAGGCTGTTGATGAGTAAAATACTTGTGATAAAGGCTGTCTTTTTTTTTAACACAGTATAGATTTAATGTTTATTTATTTTCAGGTTGTTAGAACATTATAGTCAAGAGAAAGGTTTCGCATTCTGTATAACTCATAGTGAAATTGATAAGGTTGATAAGGAGCCTCGGCATCGAGTGTATACATATACAAAAGGACAAACATATATGCCACGTAAAGAAGCTCATATTCTCAACAAAAGAGATCGAGGTCATAAATCAGTAGAATGCCCCTACCATATAAACATATACTGGTGGAAAAACGATAATTAAATTCGTATTTCTAACATTATTGGAACGCATAATTATGAAATGGTTCAAAATATTACTATGGTTGAAGCAAGGTACTGTCAGTTAACAAAAGAAATGCAAGATGATGTTAGATTACTCTCATCCTGTAGTATGCAAGCTGGCACGATTATTGAGGTTCTACAAAAAAAGTATCTTGAGAAACATATTTATGCACATAATATCTACAATATAATACACGCTATTCGTTTTGAGAATTGTGTTACAAGTGATGCAGGTAGTACCTATATCGAATTAATTAAAAAACAATGTGATGAACCTGGTTACTACGTTAATGCAAGGTTTGAAGAAGCAGACAACTATTTAGTTAGTCTTATATAGATACAGCTGAGTCAGATTCAATTATGGGGCAGGTTTCATGACGTTGTTCTTATGGACACTACTTTCAAAACGAATAGATATTCAATAATGCTTTGTATGTTGATAATCATTGACAACCACAATCGTTCACGTCTAGTAGCAACTGCAGTGATCTCGGATGAGACAAGTGATACTTTCTCTTGGATTTTTGAAAATTTACTTGAAGCATCTAATAGCTTAACTCCAAAAGTGTTATTCACAGATGCTGATTGTGCAATAGTTTCTGCTATAAACACAAAATTATCAAATACAAAACACCATTTCTGTCTTTTTCATATCTGAAAAAATCTTGAAAAGTGTTTTTTGGGTAAGTATAAAGGTGAGAAATAGGGAGATTTTTTTAAGGAATTTTGCCATGTACGAAATAGCCGTGTGGAGATAACATTTGAGAAACGCTGAGCAGATTTGCTGCAAAAATATCCTGATTCTGCATCATACTTGAAGAGACAGCTCTATCTGTGCAGAGAAGCATGGGTGCTCTGTTTCACACATAGGTCATTTAATGCTGGTATACAGACTACGCAACGAGTTGAATCGTACAATAGAATTATCAAAAAACATGTTAACGGCTCTTCTTCTCTATTGGAATTGAGTAATACCATTGAAAGATTGCTTTTTAAAAAAGATCAGTATCAGCGCTTTAATGAAGTTGCAGGTGTACTACCAGCAATTCATAATGAAGATTATTACAATAGATATTTCAATTTAGTTGATAAGTCATATCAAAAATTTTTGACAACAGCAATACTTAAAATTCAATGCTGTGAAATGAATCTCAGTATACACTATCAGGCACAATTAGTCAATTTGACAGATGGACTTCAAAGTCCGGTATGTTTTCTTTATATTCTTAAGTGTTGTACAAATACTCATTTAATAATATAAGAAAATAGTTGATTAACACCTATGAAATCTTTAAGTTTTTTTTTTTTTTTTTTTTTCTTTTTTTTAGCAACTTTATAGTTAGAATAGGATTATTTATTATCAAGAACTATATATAAATAGAGTGAATTCATTTGCATTTAAACTTAACAATTTTTTTTTTTTTATAGATAACAGATGAAATATCAGCTGGAGAATTTTCTGATGATCTGTTCGATGCGTTCGTAATTGAGCTTGAAAAATTAATAAGTGATTTGAATCATACACGTATTCATGAGATCTGGAAAGTTTCATCAATTGACATGAAAAGTCAATATTTTGTAGTACTCTACGATGAAGCTACTCATCTTTGCACTTGCCTAACATTAATTAACCGTGCAGTTGTTTGCAGGCATTTCTTTGCAATAATGATGGTATCAAAAGTTGCTAAGTTTCATGTTGGAAATATATCGCATAGATGGTATTTGGATAAGGTCGTTTGTGAGGAAGAGACAAAGATTAATAATGAGCTAGCAAATTCAATAATAAATAATGGAAATTTTGGATCATTTATGCACAGTATTCAAGTTAATTTTGCGTATCTTGACAGCATTCGAGGTAGTTACGTTTTTACTGTAAGGTTTGTAAGGAGATGTCATTTAAGCAACAGTGGGAAAAAGGATTCGGCATTATAAAGAAAACTCTTAATTTGGCAATCACAACAGGACGGTATGAAGAATTATATGAAATGCACCTTAACCTAATGAAAGAAATGGAAATAGAACTTGTAACGGAGGATAATCATAATATGGAAGTTGATAATATTAAGCTGTTTGCAGCTTCAATTAGTAATCCAGTTGGTATACATTCAAAGAGTAGAAAATGGAAAGGCTTAAAAGAAATAAGAATAGGTAACATGTATCAAGTGATTAGTTAATTTCTTTAAAAGAAATTTGAATATAATTAATCGAATTTATATGTAAAAACCTAGGAATCAATGAAAATTTGGCTCGTCAAGAGAATTGTTGTAGCATTTGTGATCAGACAAGACCTAACTCTTGTACATGTAACTTGGATGTTTCAAATAATCAGATGGATGATGTGAATAAGGAAGGTTTTAACAATATGGGTAAGTTAAGATGTATATAATCCAAATAGAATAACGCAACAATATTAACGTAATACTAATAATTATGTAGTCAACCATAGTTATCATAAAAATAAGTCTCGACATTGTGGTGTCTGTGGTCAAATAGGCTACAATGCTCGTACATGTAATTTGGATAGTTCAAGCAAACAGATAAACAATTTATTTCTAGAAGGCTATAATCATAAAAATGAAATTAAATCACTATTATCGTTATCAATTGCAAGTAAAAATGGTGGAGATTTAAATTTAATGAGTTCAGGTAGGTTAAGGTTTATATTGAATTATATATTATAGTAGACTAATAATACTAATTGTTAACTTTTGCAGTTGATAAGGATCTTGCCAACAATAAGTCTCGCTACTGTGGTACTTGTGAACAAGTAGGTCATAATGCTCATACATATGACGTTAAAAGGTAGCTTGTAAGTATAATGATAGGTGTGATTGTATGTTCAATCGTTAGTTTGCTGAATTTATATATGTCTATATGACTATTGCATATTGTGTTTGCCTGCATGTTTTTATCGTATACGTTGCTTGTATCTGGTATAATGTTTGCATGTATATATATACGTACTTATGTTACTGATTACGTGTGTTATTTTTATTGTCTATTCAATATAATATTTGCTTGCATTTGGGTGTGTTGTGTGTGTGTTACTATATAATATTATATATATTTATTTATGTAATGTTTGCATGAAACATTGATACTAATAAACACGAGATCAAGGTATTCATATATTGTACTTTGAATTAGAATAATTTTAGTATAATTTGGGCCTGAATTTCTTTTATTTATGTGAGCTGTATAAATTTATGTGATAATGTTATATTAATATACAAGTTTAATATTTATGGTATTTAGCATCTATAGTGTTTAGTGCCTATGGTGTTTATCGTCTATAGTGTTTATTGCCTATAGTATTTATTGCCTATGGTGTTTAGCACCTATGGTGTACTTTAGTAAACTCAAAAATTTTTATTACTATTTAATTTATTGTACTATATATATCTATTTTTTTTTAATTTATTTATTGGAAAATTCTATTTAACTCAGATTAAAGTCACCCGCTTTCCAAAAGTGATCAATAATAATAAAAAACTCTAAAAATAAGTCTTATTTTTAGAGTTTCTTTTTCTGATTAGTCACTTTTAGGGAGTGAGAGACTTTAATCTGATTCAAAATAGAATTTCTCTTATTTTTATTTAATTCTAAGTTATATTTTTATTTAATTTATTTATT